TTTATACTGTCTATGAAGATCCTGAGATGCTTTGTTCTGAAATCATCTAATAGGCATTAATTTAGAGATACATTGGCTGAAGCCTATTCTATGTTTGTTTATTAGACAAGATTTTTTTAAGCAACTTCGAAATGCTTTCCAGTGCCTATCATTTTAAGAGGATTAGATCCTGCAACGAACGAGCAGGTTTGAATGCTTCCTTCAAAAGATCTTATGAAATTCTATTATTTCGAAGAGGAGAAAGAAAGCAGGCTCAATTGTAATCATTTTTGCAAAAATTCATAGAAACTGATATTATACTAGAATAGAATAACAGAGTTGGAAGGGACCTTGGAGGTCTTCTAGTCCAACCCCCTGCCTAGGCAGGAAACCCTACACCACTTCAGACAAATGGTTATCCAACATCATCTTAAAAACTTCCAGTGTTGGAGCATTCACAACTTTTGGAGGCAAGCTGTTTGCACCAGCTGCCAAAAAAGCCAACACAGTTCTAGGCTGAATAAACAGAGGGATAGAATCAAGATGAGGTGAAGTGTTAATACCACTTTATAATGCCTTGGTAAGGCCACACTTGGAATACAGCATCCAGTTTTGGTTGCCATGATGTAGAAAAGATGTGGAGACTCTAGAAAGAGTGCAGAGTAGAGCATCAAAGATGATTAGGGGACTGGAGGCTAAAACATATGAAGAACGGTTGCAGGAACTGGGTATGTCTAGTTTAATGAAAAGAAGGACCAGGGGAGACATGATAGCAGTCTTCCAATATCTCAGGGGTTGCCACAAAGAAGAGGGAGTCAAACTATTCTCCAAAGCACCTGAGGGTAGAACAAGAAACAATGGGTGGAAATTAATCAAGGAGAGAAGCAACTTAGAACTGAGGAGAAATTTCCTGACAGTTAGAACAATTAATCAGTGGACCAATTTGCCTCCAGAAGTGGTGAATGTTCCAACACTGGAAGTTTCTAAGAAGATGTTGGATAACCATTTGTCTGAAGTGTTGTAGGGTTTCCTGCCTAAGCAGGGGGTTGGATTACAAGACCTCCAAGGTCCCTTCCAACTCTGTTATTCTATTCTATTCCATTGGCATTGAAGCAGGGGTGGGTTCCTGCCAGTTCTAACCTCTTCTATAGAAGAAGTTCCACAAATCTACAGTGCCGTTTAAAACCGGTTCCAGCTCCCTCCCCCCGCCTGTCCGCACATCATCAAGATGAAGAGCTAGAGGAGGAATTCTGGGAGTTGAAGTCCACAAGTCTTAAAGTTGTCAAGTTTGAACACCCCTGGGTTTTTTTTCCTAAAGGGTTACGGGTGCAAGGGTCTTGTAACTTGACAGCTTCAAGACTTGCGTGCTTCAATACCAGAGTTCCTGAGCCAACTTGACTGGAGGAGGAATTCTGGGAGTTGAAGTCCACAAGTCTTAAAGCTGTCAAGTTTGAACACCCCTGGGGTTGTTTTTTTCCTAAAGGGTTAGAGGTTCAAGAATCTTGTAACTTGACAGCTTTAAGACTTGCGTGCTTCAAAAGCCAGAGTTCCAGAGCCAACATTTTGGTTGCTAAGCAACCCACCCAGTCACATGACTGCCAAGCCACTCCCACATAGCAGGCCACACCTACAGAAGAAGTTTTTAAAAAATTTGAAACCCACCACTGCATTGAAGGCCATTGAGAAATCAAGAAGCATGAGAATGAATCCATCACTCTCAACCCAGATCTATTGACGTTCATGGACAAATGTGGCTAATGCTCTCTCCATACTAAATCACCGGAAATGATTCTAGAAAACAGGCTTCATCCATGATTTTCCATAACTGAAATCTGACCATCTTCTCAATGACTTTCTTCTTTTCTGAGAAGAGGAGGATGGAACAGGATGATAATCGTACAACATTCTCGGATTCAAGATGACCTCTACGCAGTAAATGTAATCCCACTATAATTTTCCACCAGGTCAATGATTTTTTTCCCCCCCAACTTGACTCAGAAGAGAGGAAATGTCTATGACGCAGTGTTACAGTTAATTGCATGTGAAAATGCATAAATTAGGGACATTTGCATACTGAAAAAGCTTGGGACAACGATGAGATTGTGCTTGGAAAAATATTTATGAATTCTCACGCCGAAAAAACTTGCCCACAAATATGCAGTTTGTGCAATTGTATTTAAAAAAAAGGATTTGCAGATGAATAAGATGGGGCAGAATGAGTTTGTGCTACAAAAGCGCCGTAGAAAGTAAAATAAAATAATTCTTCTCACCATTGCAGCAGTTCTCACCTTCTGTATTCGAACCTGACTTTAAACTTTGAAACTTGGCTAAGAAAACACAAGTCCTATGACCATGTAACGCTCCATGATCAAACAAAAATACGTGATGTTACAGGTTAATATTGGCTTGGTTCACACACAGGCTAAGGCCAGTGGTAGGATTTAAAATGTTTTACTACCGGTTCTGTGGGCATGGCTTGGTGGGCGTGGCTTAGTGGGCACCGCAGGGGAAGGATACTGCAAAATATCCATTCCCTCCCCACTAATCTGCTTTCCAGCTCCGTTCTCCTGTGAAGGGCAACAGAAGAAGACCCAGCCCATCAGCTGGGACTCAGGAGGCAGCAAAGAGTTCAGGGGCAGGGCCAGCCAGAGGTGGTATTTGCCGGTTCTCCAAACTACTCAAAAGTTCCACTACTAAATCATGATTTGGGGGAAAAAAAGTTTAGAAGTTTAATTAATTAATTCTTACTTTGAATATGTTATAAAGGTTTAAGGCTATTGGATGACTCTGTAATAATTAATGAAATGCCATTAGGTGGTTGTGTTTTTTAACTATGGATTATTCTAGGACACTAAAACAATTTCGGTCAAATGAGAACTATGATATGTTGAAAGTAAGACTCATTAAGAACTTTGACATTTGATATGAATGTAAGTAATAACTGTGCAAGAGATGCACGAAAGCTAATTATAACCAATTGACACACTTTCTACAAGATGTAATGTAAGATGATTATTTTTTGTGTGCGTTGTTTGTTTAATAAAAATTAAAAAATGGAAAAAAAAATTCCACTACCACTTCTCTAGAACTGCTCAGAACCGAGTGAATACCACCTCTGGCTAAGACAGTGGTGGCTTGTTCACAGTACACTGGACAACTTCTTTTAAATCTGATCCACTACGTAATATAAACCTAGTTTTTTTTTAAAAAAAAATATCTCTCTTTTTCTTCCCCTTCATTATCATTCTTCCATCTTCTCTTCCTCCTCCTTCTCCTCCTCCCCCTCCGCCATTCTTGTGGGTTCACACACAATTACTTCCTTCAGGCATATCTGTGCCTCCTTTTTCTTTCTTAATAGTCTTATCTGGATTGTGTTTCTGTCAACACTCAGTCGCTCTACTGTGCTAATGGAAGAACTCTCACGCCTGAATATACAGAGCTAACCAGCAAGAATTACCAGTAACTTAAACAAAAGAAATAAATAAGAATTTTACAGAAGATGCCCTGACATGGTTATGATTTAAGGCTGTATTTGATTACTTGGAGCTTTAAAAAAAAAGGCTTATATTCTGCATTTCACAAAGTCCTCATAATGCCCTATAAAATTTTAATTTTCCTCTGCGTCTTTTGAAAATGAAAGTTTCCCCGCCCTTCTCTTTATATGTTCTTGTAATGTTTTATGTGTTTATGGGTAGCCAGAAAATTGCAGATAGTCCTCAACTTACAAGCATTATTCTGTCAACGTCCTGACTGACGAACTCAATTAAAGCAAGCACACTCGAGACCTGCCAGTGTCTTAATGCAAAACTTTATTGAGTGCATCATTTTGGTACTATTGAAAGCAAAACCAGCTCTACCTAATTCCCGCACAAACCCACATAGTTACAATATAGAATTCTCCCTGGCCCCTATTAGTGTAAGTCACGTTATCCAATTGAGTGTCATCGTATTGTTATGAGAAAGAAGGTCCGATCTTGGCTAACACCTGCAGATGTGTCCTTGGTTCTCACAGCTCTCTTTCTTGAAGTCTGGAACGTGTATTCCATCTCACCCGCCCCCCCCACTCTAGTCCTTGGCAAGTTGAGAAGTGATAATGGTTGTAACAGCAAAAGCGCACTTCAAGCTTGACACATTCATTCAGTGACCGTTCAAAGTTACGACGACACTGAAAAAAGTGACTTACGGCCATTTTTTACAGGCCCATCACAGCATCCCCACAATCACATGATCAAAATCCAGGTGCTTGGCAACTGAGAGATACTTATGAGAGTTGCACTGTCCCAGGGTCACCACGTCTAACATTCCTACCCTGTTTCCTTGAAAATAAGACCTCCCCGGATAATAAGCCCAATCGGGCTTTTGAGCACATGCACTCAAATAAGCCCTCCCCTGAAAATAAGCCCTCCCTGAAAATATTGCAACACGGCAGCAGCCATGAGGTGACCACGCTCGCTGCCTCTTCCTGCACCTCAAAAATAATAAGACCTCCCCGAAAATAAGGCCAAGCGCTTAGTTCGGGGGTCAAAAGAAAATAAGACCCTGTCTTATTTTCGGGGAAACACGGTATTTGTCAAGCAAGCAAAGCCAAGCAAAGTCAATGGGGAAAGCCAGATTTGCTTAATGACTGGACAATTCAGTTAGGTCAGTGTTTCTCAACCTTGGTGACTTTCAGTCGTTTGGACTTCAACTCCCAGAATCCCCCAGCCAGCATAGCTGGCTGGGGGAATTCTGCGAGTTGAAGTCCACAGGACTGAAAGTCGCCAAGGTTGAGAAACACTGACCTAACAACTACAGTGATCCACTTACCAACCGTGGCAAAGAAGTTCATAAAACGGGGCGATATTTAATAACGTTCTCGCTTAAAAGCAGAAAGTTTGGCCTCAGTTGTGTTGGTTGGTTGAGGACATGCAAACGTTGGTCCACCTATTAATAATGGACTCAGCTACAACCCACGTTTGCCTATAATAAATAACCCTTAATAGCTATTAAATGTTTATATCAAATTAATACTAATATTATAACAAAGATAAAGCCCGGTTTTTGCAGGCCCACTGAATATGACTGCTTGGGTCTGTCATGTTTCCATGGGGTTCTGGTTGCCTTCCGGCGTGATGAACTGGACTTTAGGCACAATGAAGGAAGAGTTATTCCTCCGGATTGAATTATTCCTCCGCATGGAGTTATTCCTTCGCATGGAGTTACGTTTCCTCAAAGAGTTTTGATGGAACAGCTCACTTTTCTGGAGGGTCTGGATGAGAATGGAGGGCTTCTCATCCAGTTCCTTGGCACTGCAGCGGGGCGCCGCGACTTTGCTGGTGTTGCCAAATTTGGAGTAGTCCACCGCATACGTCCCTTCTTCTTCCGTGACGATGGGCACAAAGCGATGTCCCCAGAGGATCTCTTCTGATATGTAGGACGTTCTGGCTTGGGTGGTGATTCCAGTGGTTTCCACCACACCTTCAAGTATGACAATGATTTCTAGGTCTTTGTTGGCCAGGTCGTTGGCGGAGATGTCATACAGAGGACTCCGCTTATCAATGACATGACAAATGATCAACGGAGCCACCAAGAAAATATTGTTGTTTTCAAGAGGATTGTCTACTGGAACGTCGAGCTGGTGGATTGGAATGACTTCTCCTTCTGGAGTGGTGGTCTTCCTGACAACCTGGATTCGTACCGAGGCACTAATGATCATGCTTTTCCTCAGGTCCCCTACGCGGAACATGAAACACAGGTGGCCATTACGGACAGCGATGACCGCGTTCCGGCTGAAGATTAACGTTTCTGCTCTCCGGTGGGCCTGGGCGGTTTTCATAAAGATACAACCCAACATGACCGCATTGATGATCAAGCCCACAATGTTTTGGAGGATCAGAACACTGATGGCTATGGGACATTCCTCGGTCATCATCCTTCCCCCGAAACCAATGGTGACCTGGACCTCAATGGAGAAGAGGAAAGCAGAGACGAAGGACCTGTCGGAAAGGTGGAAAAAGTGGAATGCAGTCATAAAGTACAGAAACTTAACTAATCAGCTGTTTTCCATTTTGCAAGCATGCATATAAGGTTGGTCAAAGCCACTGAAAAATCCTGCATCGTATAACCTGTTTCCCCGAGAATAAGACCTCCCCGGATAATAAGACCAATCGGGCTTTTGAGCGCATGCGCTAAAATAAACCTCAAAAATAAGACCTTCCCTAAAATATTGCAACACAGCAGCAGCCATGAGGTGACCATGCTTGTTCCCTCCTGCACCTCAAAAATAGTACCATGTTTTCCCGAAAATAAGACAGGGTCTTATTTCCTTTTGCCCTCCAAAATATGGGCCTTATTATTGGGGGGGCCTTATTGTTTTACGGGTGCTGGAGGCAGTGAGCGGGTTCACCTCATGGCTGCTGTGTTGTGCTGCTGTGACAGCGCAACACAGCCATTTGCCCCTGAGGCTGTGCCCGCGTCCTCCCATCCTCATGCCAGGCTCTTCAAGAGCCCGCTCACAAGAGAGCAACTACCTGGCAACCGCCCCCCCCCTCCAGCCAGGCAGAGCGCCACTCATTGTCCTAGTAGCATCCCGAAGGCGCCAAGCCGGGGGGGAACAGGTGCTCATGCAGCTTGGCTCCTTCAGGATACTGCTGGGTCAGTGAGTGGCCTTCTGCCTGGCCAGAGATGTAGATGGTCCAATGGGCTTATTTTCAGGAGAAGGCTTATATTTTTGCCCACTCCAATTTTCAGGACATGTCATATTTTTGGGGAAACACACTAAGACTTCCCCAAAAATAAGGCCAAGTGCTTGTTTCAGTGCTCAAAAGAAAATAAGACCCTGTCTTATTTTCGGGGAAACACTGAACATGGGTTCACACAACACATCAGATCAAATCAAGATTGGGTTACGGCCTTAACATATTATGTGAATAAACTGCAGGTAGTCCTTAGTTTGAAGTGACTGAAAGAATTGACTTATGACTGTTTTTCACACTTACGACCAATGCAGCATCCCCATCAGGGTTTCAACTGGTTCGCGGCGGTCCCCGCGAACTGGTTGGTCGGTGAACCCAGAAGTAAATAACTTCCGGGAACGTCGAAGGGCCCACCCACCCGCCCGCGCTCCTTACCGGTCTTTGAGGG